GGGAGGAGAATGGAGGAGAAGGGATTGCGGTGTGACCATCCCCCCTGGGGGGTGATTTCTCGCTTTCTGTCTCTATGTCTCTCTCTATCTGGCGAGTGCACGCGCCCTATAGTGAAAAACCTCTCCCCCCAAAAAAAATGTTCTTTAAAGAATTGTTTTAATTAATTAATTTAATTTTGACCAGATTTATTTATTTATTTATTTATTTAAAATTGACCAGAGAGGGACAAAATAAGAGAGAGCAAGAGAGACAGAAAGTGAGAAAGCAAGCTGTCAGGTCCAGGACACAAACCATGGTTAGCCATGTGAGTCCAGCACCCTTAACCACCACATCACCTGCCAGCCCTGAAAACAAATTTTTTTAAGTCGGCATTTAGCCTATGGTTGGAAGCCATGTTTTAGCTACCAATTTTTATGAACAAACAACATTAAAGTTACTCACCGTAGATTGAGGCAGTCCTTTGTTACTGTTTCGACCTCTGAAAAGATTAAATATTTTTTATTAAATTCAACAGGCTAAACAAGTTTAAAAATTTTCAGATTTAAAATATCTTGTAATTCCATTCAAATAAAGAACAGGCTACCTGCAGTGGAGACTCACCTACTATTCTCTCTACAGGCTATATACGTATGGCCCTACATGAGCTCTGCCAGAGACCCACAGGCAGGGATCATGAAGGTGAAAAAAAGGGAAACAACCTGAACTTTATTGCAAAAAAAAAAAAAAAAGATACTGAAATAAAGTAACCTACTAGAAGAAAAAAGCTAACACTACACACATAAATTAATAATAATCTTTTCTTCAAAATTAATCATTGTTATAAAGAGCTATCTGGGAGGAGATATTTCAAAGCAAAATACAGATTTTATTGTGACAATCAACATACCTAACTGACACCGAGTCAACACCCAGATCCCCTGCCTCCCTGATCCCCTACCTCCCGCTTGTAAAACCAGGTAACGCCAACATGATCACAAATGATGGGAAACAACTGAAACGTAAATCATTCCAAGCACTTTCACTTCTAAATGATATGTGCTTTTCAGGATCTATATAACAAGTACTTTGTCCTGTTGACTCCTTTAAGGATTCAAGATACAGTATACAAGAATTATCTGTCAAGCCATCTCCAGTAACGTGGACCCTATTTTCAAGTGAACTTAATGATATAACACAGGGCTTGTTCCTCTAGAAAAGATTACCACCCTTGAAAATAACAAGCATTAATAAAGTGAAATGTTACATTTCTCATAAACAGTTGCTCTAGAACAGGTCTGAAATCTAATTTTAATGAAACAACAACAGCACTCAAATTAACCCCAAACCTAAAAACATTAAAAAAAAAGCACTATTCAAATTAAAAAAAAAAGGGGGGGGGGGCACGAGCAGTGTGCCAGGTGCTATTCCCAGTGGAGCAAAACTGATCTTATTAGCACTCCAAGGCTCGGTCTCTGATTCTTGTCACCTTCCTCACCTCCTCTCATCCAAACAATAATGACTTGAGATCAAATGACCTCCAAGATTCCTTACACTTGTAACACTGATTCTGCACTTCTCTGTTTCACACGCAGGACAATTACTGCAGTCTACGGAATATGACTAATAATTAAGCACTTAAAGAACTTACTATGAACTTGACACTGCCAAACACTTCCTAGGCTTTATGTCTAATTTACTGCCTCTACCTTATGGGTGAAGAAATGGAATCCTGGCAGTTAAGTATCATGACCAAGGGACCAGCAGTTAGCGTAATGGCTATGTCACTGGACTCCCACATAATCTACAGCAGTTCGTGTCCCAGACCCGGTGGCTTAAAACTCACGCCAGCCGCATGTGCGTGCGTGCCCAAGATCCTGAGAGGAGAAGGGATTAGCGGCGTGGTCAGCCCCCCGGGGGGTGATTTCTCGCTTTCTGTCTCTCTGTCTCTGACTGGTGAGCGCACATGCCCTATAGCAAAAATCTCTCCAAAAAAAAAAAAAAGAAAAAAAGTATCATGACCCAAATCATCTAGTTTATAAAGCAGCCAGTGTTTTAAATGAGGTGCCTCTGATTGAACATCCTGAGCTTTTCATTTCTAGATCCCACCACCTTTTCTTAAACAGTCAGAGGGGTATTTACGCTTGCCAGAGAGAAACAGAGAGACAGAAAGGGAGAGGAAAAAAGTACACTCCCTTCCATGGCGCAAGTTCACAATACTGTCTCCATTTCTCCGATTTGTCAGGATTTTGGCCATACACACCCACAAACGCACCTGGTGTTTTTCAAGCAGCTGGGGCTAGAATACGAACGATTCGATCCAGCCATGTAGGATACAGCTCCTTTAACTACTAGGCTATGAGGCCATCCCTATCCTGCCTCTCTGAAACTGTATCACAAGGAATAAACTACCTTCATACCTTCACCTTCAGAATTAAACTGAACTGAATTTCTATACTTTTTCAAACATCATTTGAACTTTAACTTTTTTCTATCTGCTATTCTGTATCAAAGGCTGAAATGGCTGTCTTGTTTAGGATTAATCTATCCTGGTGTTTGCTGAAATGCCACAATTACAATATCATGAACAAATGCTATTAAGTATCCTTTAACGCCTGTGGTCTTCTCACAAAGCTATTTAAAGACTTTAATACCTTTATACTGCAGAAGTTTTGCTATCCTTTTCTACTGATTATACAGTTACATCTTTGACAAATAAAGAACAATTGTATGGCAATCCAGTTTACTTAGTAGAACAAACTGTTCAACAGGGAAAATAACACAGGACTCACAATGGTATTAAGTGGTACAAAGTATAGAATCTGATTTCCACTGATGTACCAGGTGACTGAACACCCGACAGGAATGTTAACATATCAAAGCAGAATTTTCTAATACTGACAACAGCCTAAATTCTTCGTGTTTTTCTTTTTGGATCCCCTTAGTTTATGACTTAATTTTTTTTTTAAAGAGAGACGTTTTTGCTATAGGGCACATTCACTCAGAAAGACAGAGAGAGACAGACACAGAAAGTGAGAAATCACCCCAAAAGGGGATAGCTATGCCATAATTCCTTCTTCTCCACTCTCCTCCTGGAATTTTGGGCACATAAGCACACGCACCTGGGCATAAGTTTCGAGCTACTGGGTCCAGGACTTGAGCTATGGGTCAGCCATGTGGGAGTCCAGCACCTTAACCATCATACCACCCACTGGCCCCCCAACTCAGTTTTCTTAAAAAAAAAAAAAAAAATTTTTTTTAAGCTTTGCTATATAGCACGTGTGTGTGCCAAGGTAAGAGGGAGGGGGAGTGAGAAATTACCCCCTTGGGGGAATGCCCACACCACTATCCTTTCTCTAGTCTCCTCTTAGGATTTTGGGAATGTAAGCACATGCACCCAAAGTGATTTTTCAAGCCACTGGGTCAAGGGCTTGAACCATGCAGTCGGTCATGGGGAAATCTAGTGCCTTAACCTTCACAACTGCTGGTCCGTGCCTTAATTTTTTTCATTAGTATTTTAAACCCAATCATTCTACTGTTTCATACAGTAACAAAAACTAAATTTAAAAAAAAAAATCCAAAAGCATACTTCAGTCCTAAATATCTGAGGACTTTAGAAAGTCCATGGAAAATGGAATTAAAGTACAAATTTATTTTGTACAAAAAAATTAAAATCCAGTAGCATGGCAGTTAACACAGCTGGATCCCACACAGCCAACTATGCAGTGGGAATCCCAGATCTGGTAGCTTGAAAAACATGCTGGGTATATTTGCGTGTATAACCAAAATTGCAATAGAACGAAGGAGAAAGAATTCTGGTGTGGCCATCCCCCGTCAGGGGCGATTTCTCACTTTCTTTTGATGGCAAAATTAAAAAAAAAAAAAAAAGAAACTGATAAATTAAACACGAAAGCAATCCCCAGGGGTGACAGCCACACACTACCCCTTTCCCTCCATTCCTGTCTGGGATTCTGGGCACATTCCCACATGTATCCCGGGTGTCTCCACCTGCAGGGTATGGGACTTGAACTGCGCTGCTGGCCACGTGGAAGCCAGTTGCACTAACCACCGTGTGACCTGGTTGGCCCAACTTTATGAATTTTTTAAATATTCCGTTTTTCAGGGTCAGCTTGGGGCATGGTGGTTAAGGCAGCTGGACCCCACTTAGCTGAGTGCATAGTTTGACTCTGGGACCTGGCAGCTGCAGAAACACACTGGAGGCGTATGCATGCATGCCTGAAATCCAAAGAGCAGACGAGGTGGGACTGCAGTGACTATTCCTCACAGAAGGATGCTTTCTCACCCCCTCCCCCCCCTCTCTCTCTCTCTCTCTCGACTGCAGTGACTATTCCTCACAGAGGGATGCTTTCTCACTTTCCCTCTCTCTCTCTCTCATTCTCTTTCTTCAGCATGTGCACGTGTTCTCTGAAAAAGCTGAAAAGAGAAGAGAGAAAAATATTCTGTTCTTCAAAAGACACTGTTAGAGGGAACCAGCAGTTAGCGTAATGGCTATGTCGCTGGACTCCCACGTAGTCGACTGCGGTTCGTGTCCCGGACCCGGTGGCTTAAAACTCACGCCGGGCACGTGTGCGTGCGTGCCCAAGATCCCGAGAGGAGAATGGAGGAGAAGGGATTGCGGCGTGACCATCCCCCCGGGGGGGTGATTTCTCACTTTCTGTCTCTATGTCTCTCTCTGTCTGTCTGGCGAGCGCACGCGCCCTATAGCAAAAACCTCTCCAAAAAAAAAAGACACTGTTAGAGACAATGAAAAGACAATCCAAACACAGGGAGAAAACAGTTGCAAAATATACATTTGATAATGGACTTATATCCAGAATATATAGAGAACTCTATATATTGTGTATGTATGTATGTGTGTGTGTGTGTGTGTGTGTGTATACTTGTAACAAGATAAGCAGCCCAGTAAATGGGCAAAAGATTTAAAAGGTACTTAAAAGTCTGACAATAACCCCTGCTAGTGAGGCTGCCCAGCAACTGAAACTCATACACTGCTAGTGGGAATGCAAAATGGTGCAGCCATTGTTGGGCAATATCTTATAAAGCTAAGCGTACAATTTAGCAGTCCTACTCCAAAGTTATCTGAGAACAATTAAAATGAATGTCTAGGCTGGTTTGTTCATGACAGTCTAAAACTTGTAACAACTCAAATATCCACTAACCCCTGAACAAGTAACAAATTGTTTACTGTGGTCTTTAACAATGGAATTGACTCAGCAATAAAGTTACAAATTACTGATACATGCTAGGCACAACAAGGATGAATTTCAAAAGCACTTTAGTCAGACACACAGCTATGAATATATGACTCATAATACATGACTCAATTTAAATAATTCTGGAAAGGCAAATCTATAGAAACAAAAATCAGATCAATGACAGACTGAGAATAAAAAAAGGAAATTAACAAAGACACAAAAAGAGAACATTAAGGGGTGATATCTTAATTGTAGTAGCAGTCACACACACACACACACACACAT